GTATCCTTTCCTTCATTATCCTTGCTTTGGGTGATGTATCTTTAAAGATGTTACTGAGGTGTAGATCATGTAGTATTATGCCAGTATTTTCTCCTATATATGTTATGGTTTCATGTCTTACGTCTAGTTCTTTAATCCATTTTGTGTTGGTTTTTGTGTATGGTGTGAGGCAGCAGTCTATTTCATTTTCTTGCACATAGTAGCCCCGCTTTCCCAGTACCATTTGTTGAACAAACTTTCTTTGTTCCACTGTAAATTTTTTGCTCCTCTATCAAATATTAGCTGTCCATAAAACTGTGAGTTTATATCTGGGTTTCTATTCAATTCCATTGGTGTGTATGTCGGTTCTTGTTCCAGTACCATACAGTCTTTATTATTATGGCTTTGTAATACAGTTTGAAGTTTGAGAGTTTAACTGCAGCACTATTTACAATAGGGAAAATGTGGAAGCAACCCAAATGCCCAAAAATAGATGACTGGTTCAAGAAGATGTGGTACACATAAACAATGAGATATTACTCAGCAATCAAAAAAGATAAGCTCATGCCATTTGCAGCAACATAGATAGAGCTGAAAGGGATCATGCTGAATGAAATAAGCCAGAAAGAAAAAGAAAAATACTGGATGGTTTCACTGAGTGTAAGGCATCAGGAGAGGAAAAAAAAAAAAGTAATTGTAATAAAAGTAAAGACTAAAATCAACTATAAACCAGAGACATGCTATGGGAGCAGAGAGGAAAATAGGATCAAAACTGGGGTCAGAAGAGCACACAGGACTACGGTGATGGCACATTGGTTAACTGGTGATAGGAAGCCCATGGGGATTACAACCAAGATGAAAAAAAAAATGCACAGAATGAAGAATGACATAAAAAGAATATATTTAAAAAAGAAAAAAAAATCATGTAGAATTGGCATTATTTCTTCTTCAAAAGACTGGCAAACTGGTCTTATTTGCAAAGCTTGAAATATGAACAGACACACTTAAAAATACTTGGTAAAAGTCATAACTGCAAAGCTAGCAAAACATGTAAGGCGTAAGCCATGTTTATTGTATTGCTATATGTCCACAATGCTTCAACTGGTTCATAACACTCACTAATGAAATCATGTGGACCAGGTGTTCTTCAAAGGAATGTTTTTAAATACAAATAAAACTTTCAAAATGTCGGATTCTATATTTACATTATTTCTTTCTGTTTATGTAGGTTCATTTTATCTCACTTGTCCAATTTATGTGCGGTTACTTATAATATTTTTTATTATCCTTTAATGTTTATAGAGCTTATTGTGACAGCCCCTTTGCACATTGTTTTCCTTTGTGTACAGCTAGAGACTTATCAGTCGTATTGATCTTTCAGAAGAATTAGCTCAACTGATTTTTCTACTGTACCTGTCTTTCTTGTATTCTGCTTGCTTTGGGTTTACTTTGCTCATCTTTTTCTAGTTTCTGAAGCAGAAGTTTAGTCAAATGATTTGAGATCTTTCTACTTTTCCAATATAATAATACTACAAAATTTCCTCTCAGCATTACTTTCGCTGTAATCTACAACTCTAAATACACTGTATTTTCAATTTTATTCAGTTGAAAATATTTCCTAATTTCCTTTGAGACTTCTTAAATTTATGAATTAACTCTCAAGTACACTATTTGATTTCCAAGCATTTAGGCATTTGCTAGCATTACATTTTTATTTGTTATTTCTACCTTAATTTCATTATGGTCAGAGAATATACTTAGTTAAGATTTTAATTTTTTTAGATTTGGTAAACTCTGTTTTATGACTCAGGAGATGATCTATTGCGGTGAATTATTTGATGTGTGCTGGAAAGGAATGTACACTGTGATACTGTTGAGTAGATTATTCTATGTCAAGAACTTGCTGGGCCCTCCCTGGTGGCCCAGTAGGTTAAACTGCAGCACCGCAAGCAAGCTGCAGCTACTTCAGTGCAAGTTTGATCCCCAAACCCGGAGGTGATCCACA